AAAAGGCGCACGACGGCGGAATTTTTGGATCTCTTTTCGTTTTTTTTTTTGTTTGGCATTTTGATTGCGGCCCTTCATTTCCCGCCACAGCGAGAAAGTCCGGTACAGATTGTCGGCGGCCCAAAAACTGGACCACCCGACCGTTTCGCAGCCGCTCGATGCAACCCCGCCGTCGTCCGCCCTCTACACCGTGGGGCCTTGGTGCAGTACCCTGGGACTTTGCGAGATGAGGACCTCCGAAAAACCCTCCCCTAACTCACCGGTACCGGGGGTTTTCGGTGGCGGGGGACCTGTGGTTTAGGGCGTCGTTCGACACACCTCAGCGCGTCCTCGGGCTCCGAGGACGAACCCTCGGAGCAATTTTTGATTTTCGGAGGTGTCGTTCCACCTGTCCTCGGAGAATTGCCCCGAGGACGAATCCTCGGGGCCCTACCGCGGCCAGTTTAATTAGATTATACACAGCCGCGAGAGGAATGTCCGGCCTCCGATTCAGGATGTCCGTGTAGTAGTCGTGGTGGGCCAAAACGCGGACGGCGGGAAGACGTCACGGACCCTTGGAAAAAAAAACGCCAACGCGGGAAAATCCCCTTTCGAAATTCGAATTTTGAATTTTGATGTTGCGGAGCGACGTGGTGGCAGCGCACAGGCGGGTTGGCCAGGGGGCAGCCTACGCCGCGCAGGGTTTCGTTTGCCATCGCGGTGTGTATTTCAGCGGCGCCGCACCGCCACTGCGTCAAGTGTGGTCGACGCGACAAAACAAAGACGTTCGGTAGGCAGTCGCGTTCGCCACGTGCAAGCGTCGCGGCGATGGGTGGACGCCAGCGGTGGTGGGTGGACGCTCCAATCGAAATCGCGTAGTTGGGCCGGCCTGTCTTCCTGACGTGGTTGCAGGCATCTTCAACCGTGGCGGCATACGTGCATGGAGGTGGCCGCCGGTGGACGTCGTTTTTTGTCTACGAGGGACGTGATGGACGGCTGCGATGGCGATGGACCTGCTGTGCTGTCGACAGCAGAGAAGACAGCAGTCGCGACGGCTACGGTTGCCGTTGTCCGTCGTTTTCATATCGAGAGTGCGGTCGAGCGCATGAAGGCAACGCTTTCGAGGCGGCGGGAGAGGCTACTGCTGCAAAGGGTGTTGGACGCCCCGGACTGCATCACCACATCCCAAGCCGTGGTTCAGCTGTGTGCTGCTATCGGGTGCGGTTTGCTTCCTCGGGCTACGCCACGTTGGTGGATGTGGCGGAGAGCTGGCGGGACTTGGGTTACGGGTTTGCGATGACGCGACAGAGGACTACTTTCGGGAAAAGCTCCGCATGTCGAGGAGAGTGTTCATGGAGATCAGCGAAGCATGTGCGCCTCATGTGCAGGGGCAGGTGACGTTTTACAGGGAGCCACTACAGTCGGAGCAGATCGTCGCATACGCACTGTATAGGTGGGCCACAGGGGAGTCTTACGATAACAGCACATCATCCTTCGGCATGGGCAGGACTTCCAGAGTTCGATCCGTACGCGATGTGACAACCGCCATTTTGAGGGTGTACGGGGAGAAGATATCGTGTCCGACGGGGGTGCGGAAACAAGTCGTCCTACGGGCTTTTCTGGACAAGGGCTTTCCAAATCGCCATGGCGTAGTTGACTGCACACACATCTACGTGGACAAACCGGCGAACGTGCCTAGCAAGAACTACTTCGACCGCAAGCACCGTTTTTCCGTCATTGCGCAGGTTGTGGTGGACCTGGATCTGCGCGTCCTTGATGTATTCGTGGGATATCCGGGTAGCTGCCACGACATTAGGGTGATCCAGCTGTCAAGTCTGTCGAGGCGCGCGGAAGAGGGATTACTGTTTCGTGGGCCGCCTGTGACGCTGCCGGGAGGGGTGACGACGAACGGATACATTTTGGGCGACAACGGGTATCCTCCTTCTGAGTGGGTGGTGGTGCCGTACGGAGGAATCAATCAGCACCCGGACGAGGAAAGGTTCGACACGAAACAGAAGGTCGCAAGAGGGGCCGTGGAGAGGGCGTTCGGGAGGTTGAAAGGCATGTGGAGGCTCTTCCTGCGGACGCACAAGACGGACCTCGAGAGTCTGCCGCAGCAGTTCACGGCGGTATGCGTTCTCCACAACATCCTGCTCGATGCAGGAATCGAGTTCGACGAGAATTTGTTGTGGGAGGTCGACGCGAACGGGGTGAGGCGGCGAGTGGACCTGGGGATTCATCGCCCCCTGCAGCCAGTGTCCATGTTGAGTTCGACGCGCGAGGCTCATGCGCTCCGCAATGCACTGGTGCAGGGGTTTGTCATAGACGGGAGTCGTAGTCGAGGGCTGGCACGAAGAGGTTCGTGAGCCCGCTGTTTCGCATGCGCTTCACGCGCCTTTTTTTTTGAGAACTTTCGAACGTTGCATTTTTTTGATGATGTTTGGCAATGGATTTTTCGGTGTACCCGACTGCTGCTATTCTTTCGAGGATTTTTTTTTTTTTTTTTTTTTTTTTTTTTTTTTTTTTTTTTTTTTTTTTTTTTTTTTTTTTTTTTTGCGGTGCATGGAACGTGTGTTGTGCATGTCGTCTCGGCTTGTCTCCGTTTTTTTCCAAAAAGCTCTTCTACTTCGTTTTTTGCATTGACGAATGACGTGCATCGCGTTTGTGAATCCCAAAAAGCTTCGTTGCTGCATTGACGACTGGCATGCATCAACAAAGAAAAGAAAGATGAACTCGCGACTGATGTGCTCATCATGCAACTGTGCAACGAAGACGCAATCCTTTTATTTCTTTTCTTTGTTAAGTTCACGGCGATGACAATGATGCCGCGATAGGTGAAATGGAAAAAACACGGGCTCATACATAAGAAGATGCGGACGACGATGCGATGGCCATTCACACGTGCGTCATGTGATAAACCACACAGAAGACAACGACGACAAGACATGGAAAAAGCAACACACATTTCACTGAGTTCATATTACATAAAATCAATCGCATAGGCGACGATTCCCCCTTTTGTCTGACTACCGACACTTCAAGCGTTCCACACTACACACGGACTGGTCCTGCCGTCTACGCACATTTTGGCGGAGCAGTCCGCCGACCCAGTTAACCCTGCGGCGGACCAAGCGTACCAAGCGCGCTCCAATCACCTAATAATGACACAAAATAAACGAAATCATCGTTCACTACACATGCACCACGACGACTGCAACCTGACATATACATGACAACACTCGAGACCAGACGCCGTTCGAGTCGCCACGACCACCCGGCTAACGCTCTCCGCCGCCAACCAACCCAACCCCCCCCACAACCGTCCCCCCCGCCCGTCCCCGCTGAACAAGCAACACCAGCCAACACCCATCCCGCCCGTGCTGCCCCGTGTGCGGTCGCAGGCGCTGCGTTCGTCGTTGCGTCTTCCAGTACTACAATCAGTCGATGATCCGCACCCTGACACTGCGCCAAGGACGCACCCACGTGTCAACCGTCCTCGTCTCCCACTTCCTCCGCCGAAGGCCCGCTGCCAATCCATCCGTGTTTCGCGGCTTCCGCCACGTTCTTCAGGGCCGCGTTGTGGCCGAACACCAACCCGCAGTCACACCATTTCGGAATGCAGTGCGGGTAATCTCCCAGCGTGAGGTGAGCCTTCCCTATACGATCCAAGACGAGGTTCACGCTGTCGACGATGTGTCGCCGCCAGTTGAAGATGTACGACCCCGCCGCTATCATTGTCGGTTTGGCGACCATGGACGAGTAAAGGCACGCCTCATAGTGTGAACGGTCGTCGTCACCACCCATGCGCATGATCCACATGCACGCGCTCAACAACGCTCGAAGACAGTCCGCAAGCCTAGACAACCTCTCCTGTTTCACGCGCCCGCCGTCCGCCCATTGTCCACACCACAGTGCGTCTGTCCAACACTCCTCGATGCGAAGAATTGTCGCCTCCTGCCGCGCCACCATGTCATCGTCCTCGGGCTGATCCACAATCTTCACCCCCGTGAACCATAGAGGCACGTCCATCTTCAGCACGAGAGTGTGGTACACGAGTGTAGGGGACACCACATTCGACCATTCCTGCCCCTGCCAAACTGCTCGTGCGACGTTTGTGGCAATGTCGACACTGATGTACGACTCTGCACGAGCGAATCCAGCCGACCGCGACGACGATTTGAAGATCCAGCCGTGGATGGTGCGCAGCACCAGTTTCTCGACGTTGCGCGCTTTGCGCAGAGCCGGTTCACGCTGCGCAGGGTCGTCGATCTTGAAGCGCGACACGTCGTTCGGCGGCAGTATGAGCATCGCAGGCGGTTCAGCTCCCGCGTCTCCGTTGGCGATTGCGATGAAGTAGTCCGCGCACTCGCCAACCGCCTCCCTCAAGGGTTTCCCCGGTCCCTGACCCCAGAAAGAGTCGCAATCAACCCACAACTTCGATCTTTCCTCCAGACTATCCTCCTTTGCGGCTCCCTTCAACCTCGTCACAAGTGGATGGTCGTCGTCGTCGTCGCCCTCCAGCTTTCCGTCTCTTCTTCCCTCGTCGTGGCGGACGTCGTCTACCCTCTCCTCGCCCGCACCTTCGGCAACTCCGGTTCTACCACTGCGATCCGCCGCCGCCGTCCGAGTGTCGATCGCCGTTGCATCGCCCTTTTGCACGGCCTGTGCTTTCCCCCCCCCCTGAAGCCCCCAGTTGTTGCAGTGGAAGTGTTTGACGTGGCTGGCCCTGCCCCGTCGCCGCGGGAAGTTGCCTCGGGACGCGCACCTCCGTTATGACAACCCCTGCCGCCTTCGGGGTCTTTTGCGACGCCCCGGCAGCACCAACAGCAATGCTCTGCTTGACAGCGGGCACCTGTTCCCTCGTCAACCCATCCCGCCCGAAACCCAATCGCGGCGCCACTGAAGTACCTTGCGCGTCCACCATCACCACTTCTTCTGGCTGGAAGTCTGCAGTGTGCTCGGAGCTCGACTCTTCAACGCGCTGTCTTTTCGGCTTAGAGATGTGCCCTCTGCCTCTCTTGGTTTCCCCCTCGTCGCCCGCCCCGCTATTTTGTTTGGCCTTCGCTGATGCGTTCCTCGGGGTCATGTCGTCCGCAACTCGGCAACGACGAACACGTGGACGAAGGAGCGCGTCGACGAAGGAGCACGTGGAAGTACGACGCTTGGAGATCGACGACGGCCACGTCGACGAAGGAGCACGTGGACAATACGCAGTCGTGGTGGGCAGGAGCCGCGACGATGATGGCCACAGAAAAAAGAGCACGTGCTTGCGGCGCGTGAGGGGGGACTGCACGCGGTGCAAAAAAACTTGAGAGTGGAGGCGCAAAGGGCGGGAAGTGCTGGCTTGTGGCGACGAATCAGTGATCAGACGACACCGTCGGAGACGTGGACAATGGAGTACTCCCGTACGGACTGCGGCCCGGAACACCGCACACCGTGTACACGCCACACCGTCCACGACAGCCCGCCCCCTTGCCGATCGTACACGGACCGTTTTTTTCCCGAAGGCTTCTGGTGATCCGTCGTATGGCCAACAACGTGTGTGGGCGCGCAGGAGGACCATGGTGGAGGTCAAAAGACCCCGGCACGCTTCCGTCGCCCACCACCCCCCAGAAAAACACACAGGAGGACCATGGTGGAGGCGCCCCTGTCCTCCATTGTACCCTCCCACCCAAAAAAAAAAAACACCCTACCACCCATTCCTTTATCCCACACCAAACCACCTCCCGCCCCCCCCCCAAGAAGAAAACCCTGCTGGATCCCCATCCGCGCGTGGCTGCAACGCGTCACGTCAACAGGCATTGAACAATAAACGGGCGTCGTAATTTGAAACCGACTGACGCGCCGACGGGTATGGCAGAAATCAACACCCTTCAAACTAATCAAAAAAGTCGACTCTTGCAATGGAAACCGCATGCAGAAACGAGCCGTCCTCTGTAAACAACATGTCCACCACCGCACAGCAGCACGCAGTACGAGGGCAACGCCGACGATCCAGAAGCACACACGAGGCATTTGCGTGGACGTTGGACATGTGCGGCCCATCGACTTCATGATCGTTCGCGGATCTTAGCAATCTCCATAAGGGCTGTCTCTTATACACATCTAGATGTGTATAAGAGACAGGAGAGAGAGAGAGGAAGGCCACATCGCCGCACTGCTCGCCGGCCTCGCAGAGCTACAACGACCCCAAGCACATCGCCTCGAACAAGTTCACGATGGCGGAAACGAGGCGGCAAGGACAGCGAAAGGAAACAACAGAGCAAGGAGGCAGGGTCGGGTTAGGGGGCTCGTGGCGATGGCGGACATGACTGTCACAACCCCGATCGGAGGGAAAGCGTCAACAACATCCAAACCCTAGACGACTACACAGAGAAGACGCGTTTCCACATCGTCGTCTCATATGTATATATCGGTAGTACCGGGATAATGGTAACAATGACAAAAACAACAAAAAAAAAAAAAAAAAAAAAAGGCGCACGACGGCGGAATTTTTGGATCTGTTTTCGTTTTTTTTGTTTCACATTTTGATTGCGGCCCTTCAATTTCCGCTAGAGCGTGAAAGTCCAGTACAGATTGTCGACGGCCCAAAAACTGGACCACCCGACTGTTTTGCAACCGCTCGATGCAACCCGCCGTCGTCCGCCCTCT